GGGACCCCGCTCAGCCCCTTCCCCCAGGGTCGGGCATCACCAGGGCCCAAGGTGAAGGTGATGCTGAGCCCCGTGTTCCACCTGCATCCTCCCAAAACGGAGTCACCCCCGCTCCGCTGCCACCCCGCGCCCGGGCGCGCTCGCTGCCGCCTCCGCTCCCGGGAGCGGGCGGCTGTTCAAAGCCCTGCGGACGCGCCGGGCAGGGTTCAGGGGCTCTTCATTAAGAAGAGAAGGAATTAACGTGATCAGACTGGCCTGCCAACACCTCACACTGCTTTTTCCCCATCTGACCTCTCGGGCTTCAGAAACAAACTCCGGTGAGCATCACGAACCCCCAGCCCCATGCCTGCTCCCTTTGGACCAGCTGCTGCCCAGAAGGACAGGGGGGGCTACTTCAGGCACAGGATTACTTTCCTGTGCATGTTAAGGTAGTTTTCATGTCAAAATTCTGACCAAAAAAACCCCCATTGTCCAGCCAAACCTTTCCACCAGTTTTCAGTGTATTTTCTCATGATAATTTCAGGGAAATGAGCACACTCTGGAACTTCCCTCTCGATCCTTTCAGGCTCATGCAAACCACCCGAGGATGCAGATAGAAATGTACTTTCCTGCCTACAGTTTCCACTCAGTCTCAATCGCTCCTTGCTGCCATGGGAAAAACTTGGCGACACTCCGGGCACGAGGCGACTAAAGGAGCCTTTTCCCAGCTCATTCCCTGCACTTCCCACGTGCTCTGAAGCTCACCAGCACAGAAAAACCTTCTCCCTAACCCAGGCTCTTCCTTTCTAGCCTTCAAAGAAAATCCCCCAACCTGTGAGCGGATCCTGCTGTCCAGAGGGGGGAATCTGTATTTTGTTAGCTACAGGAAATGGGAAAACTTCCAGCGCTGGAATTAAAGCCCAGAAGGAAGGAGCTGAGCTGGGGGAGGGGTCTCTGTCACTGCAGCAGTCATCAGGGGGTCAGAGCTACACAAATTTTAAAGGCAGAGGGACACAAGAATGAAAACTGGTGATTCACCAGCCAAGCCTGAACCCATGAGGGCAAGGAAGAGGAAGGAGCAGCACAGAATCCCCTCATCACATGTCCCACCAAAACCACAAATAATCACATTCAGTTCAGTTTTTCTACTTCCCACCTCTCTGACCCACACCCAACCCCATGACTGCCTTTTCCACCATGTAAGAGCAGCACTTTCTCAACAAGTTCAGAAATTCCTGGAATGGGTCCCTGCTGCCACGTCCAGCATCCCACTCACTGCATGGGTCCCCTCTGATGTCCCTGGCTCTGATGCCACAGCCAGAGCCCCAGTGCCAGGAGCAGCAGCACTGGCCCCTCCATGCCCACACGTGCCAGGACAGCCCACTGCCAGCCCCTGGCCCCCTCCCTTCCAACACATTCCATGACAACACCAGATCCCAGTCTCTGTTTGTCCCCCAAACTCGGAACCACACACATGGGCACAGGTCAGGTGAGGAACGGGGGCCTCGTGCTCAGGCCACAAACCCACCGAGTCAGCGCAGGAGATTCTTGTGCGGGGAGAGAAGAACAGCTCAGCTGTGACAACACATCAACAACAGCTAAATTTAGCAGGTTATTTTCAGTAATCCAGATGCTGGGTAAATACAACCTTATTATTTCACGCAGGGGCAAAGGTTCAGACGAGTCCCTCATGCTGCTTTTGCCTGTTAGTTCACCACATCCAGCCGCAGGAGCCCACCCTGAAATGCTGCAATGTCACCACTGTCTGGCTGTGCTGGCAGGAGACACCAGCTCCAGCCCTGTCCTTGAGCAGCAAGAGGAGCCACTGCTCCATGACATGGGCAGAGCACCCCCTGATCCCTTTTGGAGGGGCCTGGTGCTGCTGTTGGTAGGAATTTTTTCTGAGGATGCAGTTTTCAGGTGCATGGCCAGGCTGTGAGCCTTTCCTTTCTTCAAGCTTTTCCTTTCTGCTCAGTCCAGAACAATACATGGGAAGTGAATGCTGGAGAGGAAACAGAGGGTTAGGAAATCCATGGAAACCTGACCCAGCTGGGATTGTTCCAGTGGTTCAGTTTGGGGCTGTGCAGGAGCTCTGTGTCACACCCAGCTGGAAGTCTACACAGGGACTGCAGGGTGGGATGGGGCAGCAGGAGGGAGAGTAGGGACACAGGAGTCCCCAGGTGCTCCACAGTTGAAATATCACCTCCAAGAAGGCAGATAAAATCCAAGTTGTTTTCCACCATCACTGCTGCAGGAGCTGCCATGGCATCCCCAGGTATTTTAGTGCTGGGGGAAGCCACAGTGACCTCCTCCAGCCGGCGTTCAGGGAAGGAGATGTGGCAGCAGAACCACAGCCCCAGACAGGGGAATGGGTCTGTCCATGCCTGGAAGGCAGCTCAGGGAATTTGCCAGGTGTGCTGGAAGAGCAGCAGTGCTGAAGGGGGAAAGTCAGAGGCAAGCTCTGGGAATTGATGGAAGAGACACTTTGCCAAGAGCTACTGGGATAAACCAGAACCAACTGCACCCTGCCTCATGCCACCATGTCAGGAGCTGAGGTCCTCGTGTCACCCATCCAAAGAGACTGAAAATCATCATAGAGAAGGGAAATGGCGTCCCCCAAGCCACAGCCTGAATGGCCCCTTTGTCTCACATCTTCTGGGGACAATGAGTGAAGAGAACAGCAGGCACCTGCCCTGGCCCCTTCCCAGTGGAGGGCACAACGCCCCTGCAGGCTTGCTCCCTGTCCAGTGTAATCCATGGGAAGGGGAGAACTCCAGCCTGCCCCAGGCACCGTGCTGCTGCAGGTCACAGTGACACCAGGAGCCAATATACCCCATCATCACATCAAGTCACAGGTGACAAATCCCACAGTGAGAAACTGTGCGGCTGCTCAGGACACGAGGCTCCTGCTCAGGACATGAGGCTCCTGCTCAGGACATGAGGCTCCTGCTCCTCCTGCCCTCAGAACCCAGTATCCCTCCAGCATCCAGAGCTGGGACAGGGATATGTGACAGGCAGGTCAGCTGGGGTCATCTGAATGTCATTGAGCCTTCACCAGGAGAGACCTGCATTCTACAGGCAGTTTTAACCAAGGAGAAAACAGCTATAAACATTCTTTGTCCCAGAATCCCAGTCACAGTGTGATCCATAGGAGCCTTCCCTTCCACAGGGCTCTTTAACTCTTTTTAACAAGCTCTTGACATTTATGTTCTTAATCTCTCCCATGCAAGGGCCAGAGACCACCCAAGACACCTCTGGGGCTCTCTCACAAAGCACCTTTTGTTACCCAGAGCTCTCCTGTGCTCTGGGCTCCCACCAGCCAGACTCTGAGCTCACTCCACCTTTACATGCATGAAAACAAGAGGCCCTCAGTGCATCACCCTTCGGGCAGGGAACTGTCTGGAGATCCCCAGGCACATCCCATGGGCTCCCTGCACAGTGGGCTTCCCTCTTCATGGTGCCAGGACTCCAGCCAGCAGTGTGGGCAGCCCCACCGCCCCCACCTCCGACACCAGAGCCACCATCCACGCAGTGTGTCCTGAGCCCCGTGCCCAAAGCAGCAGAGCCACTCCAGCTCCAGCTCCCTCCACTGCCAGGGCCACCAGAGCCACTGGCCATGGGCTGCCCTGTGTAGGATGGGACAGGACAGGTTTGACTCTGGGGGTGTCACTGCACAAAGACCCCCATGGCACCAACCAGTGGGATGATGAAAGGTGGGACCTCTACCCCGCTGCCACAGCCCCATCCCAAGTTCCTGGTCCTGCTGGCACATGCACCCTCCCCCTCCTCCTCTTCTTGCTCCCAAAGACCACCAGCAGCCTCCCCAGCACCCACAAACCCCTCACGGCAGGGCAGCCCCAGCCTCTCCCCCCACCTTGGCACAGGTGTGATCACGCAGCAGCAGCCATGCACAATCCCCTCAGATCAGCCTGCAGCTGCACTGTCCCTCCTGCCCCACAGCCACGGCTGAGACGCTCCTGTCACACAAAGCTGAGGGGCTCCGAGCCAGGGGTGACCTGCCCAGGGCACTGCAGTGCCAAGGCTCTGGAGCTCCCCATGGGATTATCTGCTGAGCACAAAGCTGCTCACCACAAAGACAAGAGGACTTGAAAAGGAACCAAGGTCCCTTTGCAAGTATATTATCTTGAAATATACTCACACTGCTGGCAGAAGAACCCAGCAAGGGGACATTCCTCTTCCTGTGACCCCTGCTCACCCCACAGCAAGGGCACTCCTGCCCCAAAAATTATTGCTGTAGCTTACCTGCATCTTTTTTATCTTCTAACAACGAGAATTTCTGTGAAAAGAAAGAAAAAAAAAAAACAAAACAGATTTTTTTTTTTATTTTATTATTTTGATTCTCACATTTGTGGAATGCTACCCTTCACATTTGGGCTTGGACCCTGCTCCAGCCTCCTCTCTGCCCAGAGGTGACCCGAGAGCAGCAGTGCTGACCCGGAGCTGGGACCAGCAATGCTGCTCCAGCCACAGAACAAGCAGGGCCCTGGCAAAGGCTTCTCCCAGGGACATCCCACTGGTTTTAAAACACCATCTCCACTCCCAAGGGCCCTGAGCACCGGGCAGACACGGCGTGCCCAGCACGCACCCACCACCCAAGGGAAGCCACGAGAAATGGGACCACAGCAGCAGAGCCTCGGCAGCACGTGGGAGACAGCAGCAATCTGCAGAGGTGGAGGAGCAGCAGAAGGTCCCCATTCCTGGTGCTGAGGTGAGCACAGAGCCTGGAATGCTCCCCAGTCTCTCTCTGGGTGCAGATGAGCCCCTGCAGTGCCAGCACCCCGCGAACGGGCCAGAGGTGCCGGTGGGATCGCTGCAGGAACGCGCCGTGCTGCTGAGCCGGCCTTTCCCACGGACCCCCGGGACCCCTCTTCCTGCTGGGGCAGCAGGGCTGAGGATGAGCCAGGGAAGACAGGCTTAACCATGTCCCTGCTGCTGTGCTTCCCGCAGCAGCTGCCCGAGGGGTGCCACCACCAGGGCTGGGGCTATCGCTGTGACCCGTGTCCACAGGGGAGGTCACCCAGCTCCTCTGGATCCTCTGGCATCGCCCAATCTGTTCCCACACCTTCCTTTTCCCCACGAAATCTTCCACCAGCCACAGATCCACCTCATTTAACCTGGAAAGCTTTAATCCTACAGACAGAACCCAGCACGTTTCTCCCTGTTCAAGAAGTTCCTCAGCAAGGAAGGTGAGAATTCCTCTCCTGATCGTGGTGAGCAGCTGAGCAGCACTGGAATGGGGAGCAGAGCAGCTCTGGGCTGAAGCAGAAGCCTCAGCCCTACAGGAGGCCACTGGTGTCCACTAAAGGCAACCAGGAGGTGGTGCCCTGGCCAGCTGGGCCACCAGACCCCAGGTTGGGCCAAAGAGATGGGCTGAAGCCACTGCTGGGAGCTTCCAAGGAGGCTGAAAGCCGTGGGCAGCAGAGTCTGTGAGGCCAGGCTGGAGCCATCCCAAGCCGCAGCTGAGGCAGTGGCAGTGCAGGACCCGGCATCCATGAGTGTGGCACCACCAGTGCGATGGCAATGCCAACACAGGGACGAGCAGGGTTAATGAGGACAGCTAAGCTCTCCAGAGACAGCCAGGACGAGACAGCAGGGACAAGACAGCCACTAATATTACCAATGAATTTCACAAATGTCATTTTTAGACTCAACTATTTTAAGCATTGCACTGAAAGCCCGGGGGACAGCGTGCATTCCACATCCATCTCACCACAGCAGATCCACTCACCCAGCACAGCCCGGTGTACAGCACTGTCTGAAAAAGGGATTTTACCACTTTTCCCGATCTGAAACTCCTGAAATTCACACTAACTATAACTCCACATTCTGCCCAACTCACCTCCCACCACACTGCATAGGCTGGGACACAATGAACCAACAGTGATCAGGAGCAGGCAGGGAGAGTCATCTGTTATTAATGTGACAGATGAAGAATTAAACCCTAATGAAAAATCTCAGATGCCACACCGTGAGAACTGCTGCTGCAGGAAATGAAAAACTGGGGGCCTTTGGCCTCGCTGCTCCTTTGTCATCCTGCTCACAGGTCGGCCACTGCCCCACAGCCACGCCATGGGCGCCTCTGGGTTCGGAATGATGTCCCAGCCCGGCCACTCCAAACAAGGAGGCACAGCAGGACCCTCTTGAAATGTGCTGAACACCTCGGGGGCTGAGGGTGAACACACACACACACACACACACACACAAACACACAAACACAGACACACAAACAGACACACACACACACAGACACACACACACACACACACACACACAGACACAGACAAACACACACACAGACAAACACACACACAGACACACACACACAGACACACACACAGACACACACACACAGACACACACAGACACACACACACACAGACACAGACACACACACACACACACACACACACAGACACACACACACACACACACACACACACACACACACACACACACACACACACAGACACAGACAAACACACACACAGACACACACAGACACACACAGACACACACACACACCAACACACACACACACACACACACACACACACACACACACACACACACACACACAGACACACACACAGACACACACACACACACACACAGACACACACACAGACAACACACACA